AGTTTAGTGTCAATAATTGTATTGGCAATGTAGCCTCTTTCTGCACACATACAAACCAACTCCTGGCACCACCCTCAGCCACGGCTCCACTAGTCTAATGGTCTATGTTATGGACTTTCATGTGGGAGATCAGGGTTCAAATCCAAACTAATGTAACTTTAACAGATAAATCTCTACAAAATTCATATTGTCACACAGTTACCCTTATTAGAGACACCTGCTGACTTGACAAGCATAAGCTGGTGTACAAAACACATTTGAACATTGGTTCATTCTGCAAGTCCATTGCTGCAGGCATGGTACATGGTACAAGGCAATGCACACGTGTTTTTATATCGTAAAAACCCATGTCTAGTTGCCTCTAGTTTTTATTTAAAATAAGTTTCCATTCTCAGCAGGTTTCTAATGTTCTTCTTCTACATATTAAAAAGTTGTTAAACATCTGAGTGGTGCACTACTGCTACTAGTGGTGAGAAAGTGTATTACACCTTATTCAAAATCAATGTGGTCCCACGGCCCTCTGCGGCCCAAAGTTAAAAACTGTTGTTCTTTTGAAGCCCATGGGTTAAGAATCTCTGTTATAGGGCAGGTCATCAAATTTATTTATATTTAATTTATTTTAAATACCAACTTGTTTTAATCAAGACAAAACCGGTAGAGAGAAATTATAGAAAATTTGTGTGAGCAGCCATGATGAAAAAAGAAAAATGAACCTGAAAAAATCCAGCAGCAACTCAATAACTTAAAATAGAAACAGCAGAAATGAGGCCAGGGTCTTCAGTATAAAAAATGTTATTTGAATAAACAGTTCATTAATTTATCCACCTGGAAAATAACTGGACTATGTGTTGTTGATTATTTTGTGTATCTCCTTCAGTCTGAGTCGGAACATTTTTAATAAAAGTTGTTTTAGAAATGTTTTCAGTCAGATTAACTGAGCTTCTTTCTTCTCCCACAGGAGACCAGAATAAACTGCATTCGGATTGCTCGCAAAGGTAAAACCTGCTTTCAGTTCTTTATTTTCTGTGACATTTTAGCATCAGTTGTTGTCACTTTGCCAGAGTTTCAGTATAGCTGAACTATAGCTGTAACAAAAAGTTTCTCTGACCTCTTTGTGTGCCTTTCGGGTGTTAAATGAAGTCATTGCTTTATGGCAGAAGATGCTTCACTATGTGAAAATCTCATAATGTCTGGATTTGTTCCAAGTTAGGTGTTTGTGACAATTTTCAGGTGTGAAAATCTTCAAAATTAGCAGCTTTGCAGCAATAGCTGTATCACAAATCAAAAGAACAATTAGCATTTCTAAATTAGTTCTTCTGTAAAAGATAATTGTTTTTTTTTATCTGTTTTGTGGATGCTCATGCACACACTGTTGGTTCAACCAAACTCCTGTTAAATATTTGTATTGTTTTGTTGCTTTATTATGTCAGCAGTTTAACTGCAAGTCTGTTCTCCAGTCTGATCCAGGCTGTTCGATAGATTGTTTTGGTATTTTCTGCTGACATTTGTGGTCCTGAATGGATAAACATTAATGACTTTGGTGATATTTTCCTCTAGAGCATCATAGTAGATCAAATATTTCACTTATAATGTCTAATGAACAGATTGGGACACAAATATAAATCGACATTTTAGCTCCCAGATGAAAGATTGATCTGATTTGTTGAAGGTGGATCAATAGCACAGAAGTGAAATCTGGGGTTTGGCTCTATATTTTGCTGTATTTTATACAATTTTTGCTGATATTTTGCACTAAATTGATGATTCATACATATCTGTTCATCTATCATTTTTACCTTCTTCTTCTTACTGGGTCAGGGGACTGGTGCCTACCCCCAATGCTTACTGTTCACTTCAAACCGGTCTCCATAATTCTGCTTTTATTTCTAATTATGTCAGTTTTGGTCCTCCATAATGCAGAAGCCTGATAATCATTTATTCAGTCATATCAGGTGTGTTGGAGCAGAGAAACAGGTAAAACTTGCAAAGTTGCAGCCCTCCAGGACCAGGACTGCCCACCCCTGATGTGTAACAAAGTGTGATAAGTCCATGGGGATTTGGAGTATGCACAAACCTTCTGTTGCAAGGCTGTAGTGGTTTAATAAACATGGAGACAGCTTATTGGGGTCTAGGATGGAACGTGGGGTAACTTAGAGATGATGTGCCAAATCCTAATTTCACCTAGGGCATCAAAATGACCCGAGTCAACTCTGTATCCCAGGTCAGTGTTCTAAGTAGTGAATTTATCAAGGGTTTATGTTAGTTTTAGGTCTCCTTCACTAATATTTCCTCATAGATATCACAGAAAGGGTTAAAGGAAACACATCTCTGTTCTCTCTGTTCCACCTGAATCACTGACTGACATTTTGGCGAAGCCCCCCATGGTGCGGTGGGGGGCTCAGAGGACTTTGAAATCTACAACAATGTCTGCTTTTTTCTTCCCTGAGAGAGGGAGGGACCAGGAGTGTTTGCTTGGAAGAGAAGAAGGGCTGATAGAAAGATTTCAGTTCGAGCATTAAGCTGAGTGAGACAGTGGGACTTCTACAGTTTCCATCCTTCCCTCCAACTAAATGAAGTTTGGAGTGTTGGAGAGCAGTGTGGCAGATGAATTGGATTGCCCTCCTTGAACACTTTAATAAGCGAGGAATGATGTCCTACCTCTCTCCTGTCTGCCGGCATGTCACATAAGCAGAGGAAGGTGGGCTGTGGGAGCCATTTTTCCTGTAGTTGTGCATAAATAAGAGTGAGCCAGAGGACACGCTGATGTCGCTTTTGTCTCCAAAGTGGCTCAGAGGTGCCGTTCAAAGCCTTCCTGGCTGTTCCCACACACAGACAGCCAGAGTCAACCCACCGCTGTGGTGGGCGGGAGCTCCATTTTCTTCACTTTGTGTATCTGTCGTCACATGAAATTTGGCCAGAATTTGTTGACAGTGTTTACATGTTCATTATAAATTAAATCCTATTGAAAGATTTACCATTTTATTATGAAAGGCTGTTTTATTATGTCAGCTTAACCAGTGCAAAAGCATCACAGTCACATTTCCCTCTTGGAACATTTGACGTTTTTGCTTAAAATCCTTTTGACAACTCAATGCAGTCTCAACAGAATAAAAATCTCCTTATAGTTTGCTTCTGCTCAGATGTGGAAAAATAGACCTTTATTTCAAACAATTTTAGATCAAAGGTGTCAAAAGATTTTCTGTTGCTCATTCAGTTAAAAAAGTTCATTGTTTATTATTTTATTTTGTATTTTCTTGCACCATACACCCCAAAAACAACAATTGTGGGAATTAAAAAAGAAGCATTTCATGATATAATTCATATTTTCTGCCAAATTTTAAACAATGAATTAGTTCCACTCAGAGTAAGTGTTGGGGGTCATTCCCAGCAATCTTTGGCCCAATATTTATGAAACTGACTCAGCAGATCTGTTCTCGGTCATCTTTTTGAGTAGAGCGATAATGAAACAAACCACTTTCACATGCATGATGTTATTACCGTACTTTTCGGACTATAAGCCGCACCCCCAACATAAAAAAAACAGCACACCCAAAACTGTCGTCAAAAATTGAATTCAACATCAAAACATAAAAAGCAAACCTTTAGGAATTAAAGTTCGGAGGAATACGGTTCATTTAACTGACCTTATTTTGGTAGTTTTCTTTAACAGTTTCTCGTCCAACAAAACGTCTCATTCATCTTCCTCCAACACACTGAAACCATCGAAGTCCTCCTCTTCAGTYTCGGAGTTGAACAAGCTGAGAAAAGCTGCGTCACACAGCGGTATCTGTTGTCCTCCCGGGATAATGCTGGCTCTGAAGCTGTGGTGTCCTCTTCACGTAGCAGTCCAGCCTTTCGCAACCCGGGCCAAGCTTACGTGCAGTGGCTCTATTTCCCTCCTGTTGCGCAATTTCGATAGCCTTCAACTTAAAAGCGGCATCATAGGAAGATCTGTTCTTTCCATGATGAGCGCGTTTGAATTTGAAGAGAAATATTTCATCGTGTCTTTCGAAGATTAATCCGTCGTGTCGTGTCTGCTACTAGCTAAAACAAAATGGCGCTTTCGTCTTCTTCCTTTTATTCGCGGCAACCACACCTCCGGCTAAAGAGCCCCCTGGAGGCTGAAGAAAAAAATCCACATATAAGCCGCCCCGGACTATAAGCCGCATGGTTCAAAGTTCAGAAAAAAATTTGCAGCTTATAGTCCGAAAAATACGGTATGTACTAATCTCTGCAGGAAATTGCACTGATGCTTTGCAAATATAGAAACGATCCACAGAGACCGTTTTGAGTAGAAGCTGTTTTGGGTTGTTGGACTCTGAGTGTACGTCAGATAGAACATCTGTGCCAAACTTCATAAAGATCTGATCATGTTTATGGATATAAAGGCATCGTGTTTGGATTCTTTTACTTAATGCCAGGTGGTAGTTGCAGAGAAACACATTACAATGTTGTAAAATAACAGCCCTTCATTAGACTTAAACAACAACAAAAATCTGAAGTTCCTATGTTAAATAGCTTTGGAGCTATAAGCATTTTTGTATGTCCAGACACCGGCTTTTCAAATAGCCCCCCAACCTAAAATATGGGGTCTATCACAAAACTGTTTGAAAGTGCAGTGTTGGTCGGCCACATCAATCCCCCTATCCACTAGTACCAGTTCAGGCTTGGTTTGGTACGTACGGTTCCAAGCTGTTTCCATTAGGCCAGTTTCACGGAACCAGCCCTTTCTTTAGTACCTACTTTGTTGTGGTTCCAAGCAGTCCCAGTCAACACCAAAATGCGACGTCAGAACGCTGTTTGTCACTGATTGGTTAGGTGGGGAGTCACTAGTTGTGTCCGAGCTGCCTTTACAACTAAAACTCGAGGCGCCATTTTGTTAATCGTAGCAACGACTTTTACAGAGGCAGAACAGAGATCCACACCACGGTACAATGCTGAGGTGCACGAGTTAGCTAGATGAGTCGACTCGCAACGAAACAGTGCTCAAGGAGTTGTTGGAGCTGATGGCCACTCGTGGCTACGAGAGAACCCCAAAGCAATGTCGGGACAAACTGAAAAGGTTGAAATGCGATTACCGCACGATTAAGAGCCACAATGGACAGAGCGGTTCAAACCGGTTCAAACCCACTGCTACATTTAATGGTTACTTACAAACAGCATTACCGCCACCTTCAGGCAAATACATGTGAAGACAATTTTCAGACTGTGGAAATGCCCAAAACACACCCACTGGAACCGGACTGGAACGTCAATGGAAAAGCGACCCGTACCGACACTGACCTTACCGACACTACACTAGGTGGCACTAGTGAAAAAGGGGCACTATAGTCCTACCAAATTTCATGCTGCTAAGTGCAAAGCAGGGGTCATAATCAATGGCAACTATATTCCAAATTTTCAAATGACAGCACATCGTCCCACTCTATAGCATTTTTTTTTTTTTTGATGGCCTCCCTTCTCCCCCTTTAGCCATCCTTTCCACACCATTATTAT